TGTCGCGCAGACCGCCTAAGACCTTTCTTCACTGTGGAAGGAAGAGCCGACAAGCAGGACGGAACGATGTCCCGAGAAACCCAGCGGAAGACGGGTCTGAGTGTACCGAGGGACCGAGAACTCCCGGAGGAGGAAAGTAAGTGGTCCAGGGCGGACGGCACTAGTCTCACCCGCAATGAGAATCTTACAAGGATCAAGGTCAAGCACATCATGGGGAAGGACGACGTAGTAGCGGACGCCCTATCCCGCATACACTAAGGAGACATGACTCTTATTTTAAGGGGATGGGTATGTGATGGAGTTCCCCCCCCTTATAATTCTCCCACGCCTGCAGTAAGAGTCATGTCTACTTTTCCCAAGCGTTCTCTACGTTGCAGGCTGCAATTTGATATATGGGAGAGAGTGAAGTGTTCTCGGAGAGCCGAGAAATTTGTGAAATAGTAATATTTTGGCCTGTGGTTTAGGCCCTTTAGGGAGCCAAGATGGCGCTTACCTCCCTGATCTCCCGCCAAAACCGTGTGACGTCAGTGGCACCGGATTGGTCACCGACAGCAGTGTGGCACCGGGAGCCAATGAAAACCTCCCGTGGCGAAAGTGACGTCACGAAGGAAGGGGGTCCGGCCAGCGCGCCGGGCTGGCGCCAGCAGTCAGACACGACACGTCATAGAGGTCGGACGTGCGACGGATGGTCCTGTCAGTTGGACAGTTGTATCTCGCTCCCGTGGATTTACGCGTCACCTGAAGTCCGCCAGTACTCTGAGAAGTCTTCCCTAGTCCATGTGTTGGACCAGAAGAGGGAATTGACGGTTATTTGAGCAACAAGTGCTCCAGTCAGGTACTGTGCCAGTAGCAGTGAAGCCGTGCAGTGACGTATGTTGACGTCTGTGGCAATTCACCAGTTCGTGACAGCGTAGTGGCTGACAGAGCAACTGGGTAGCTGAGGAAGAGAGGACTATTTGGGGAAACCGAACGACTGTAGCTGAGACGTAGGCGACAGCCGTTGCTGGGAGAAGACGACAGCCAGGAGACCGACTCCAACCTTCAAGAAGTCAAGAAGGAGGACGGACCTGCAGTGAGGAGGCACGGAGACGACGCGCTAAACGGTGGGACGACGAGAGGCTCTGGTAGGACACGACGACGTGTAGTGTGGGGGCGTTCCCGACACGAGGACCAGGAGCTACATCTCGACTCTCATCGGAGGATAGGGTGAAGTAGGTGTTTCTAGTTCCCTCCCCATTCCCCTTTAGTTAGCTATGTTATTTGGCTATATTTTCTAGCCTGAGGATTTTATATGTCGTGAGCAAGTCTCACCCATGTCACGGTAAAGCACCAGTGTGCTAGACAGTACTATCAAGAGTACTTGTAATATTCATGTTGATTATTGGTTTGTACAGGCACCAGGAACCAGTGATAAATTTACTGTGTTGTGTATATCTTTCTATAGATTTTGATATGAACATACAGTGGTGAATTATATATAATATTATGCCAGTATTTGGAGGTTAGGCTATGTGCCCAGAAACTATTTATTTACCATGTATTGATGATTGATTTATATACCATATATATGTCTATGTTCATTCAGTGAATAATCATTTGTGAGTACAGTGAATTATTGCGTTATCGCCAACGAGAGAAAGTATTGAAAAATCCAGTGTTAATAGTTCTTAATATATTGCTGAGTGAAGAACAATGTAAAGCCATTACAGTGAATCATTATAGCATTGATTGTAGAAAAGACTGTTTGAGCCTGAGTACAGTGTAACCAAGTGATACGTGCTATTGTAGCCAATATCGTGTGTGCGAGTTCATGGTAATATTGGAGAATTTAAAGAAACAGCGCGCGCGAATCTAGAAAACAAGCAAAGCTTTCGCGCGGGAGCCAGGCAATCAGCTGATCTTGACACTTGATGAGGAGGGGAGTGTTGCCACCATAGTGATCGCATACTATCCGTGGGAACTTCCGGCCGCGTCGGGATCAGTTGACTTATTTGTTGTTGTTTGGTCTTTGTGACATCTTTCATACATTTTAAGTAAAGTACAAAACCATCTTTGTGTTTTTATCATTCCCTCCATTGATCTTGTGGCTATATTATACTGGTAAACATAGAGTGATAACAATAAGTACCTGCCTGATTCCTGATCTTTTGAGTGTGACCTTGCCAAGGCTTCCACTGAATACACCAGTCCACTGATGGTGTTACTGGCCACCTTAAACACCAGTTGGCGACCTTGTATTTAACCGTAGAGCCCTATTGTGGGGAGGGCACACGACAGTCGAGGGCACGAGTCGTGTTCTCACTCTTTCTTAATAAGAGGCCGTTAAGATTGACTGGGAGACTCTCCTGGCATGCAGTGGCGCCGTGAGGATCGAGTGAAGACCCGCAGGGCTACGGTGAGTTACCTTGGGCATAGCATTTGCTCACCCCAGACTAGAGAGAAGAGAGGTGAAACCCCCAACAATATATATATATATATATATATATATATATATATATATATATATATATATATATATATATATATATATATATATATATATATATATATATATATATATATATATATATATATATATATATATATATATATATATATATATATATATATATATATATATATATATATATATATATATATATATATATATGTCGTACCTAGTAGCCAGAACGTACTTCTCAGCCTACTATGCAAGGCCCGATTTGCCTAATAAGCCAAGTTTTCCTAAAATAATATATTTTCTCAATTTTTTCTTATGAAATGATAAAGCTACCCTTTTCATTATGTATGAGGTCAATTTTTTGTATTGGAGTTAAAATTTACGTAGATATATGACCAAACCTAACCAACCCTACCTAACCTAACCTAACCTATCTTTATAGGTTAGGTTGGGTTAGGTAGCCGAAAAAGTTAGGTTAGGTTAGATTAGGTAGGTTAGGTTGTCGAAAAACAATTAATTCATGAAAACTTGGCTTATTTGGCAAATTGGGCCTGGCATAGTAGGCTGAGAAGTGCGTTCTGGCTACTAGGTACGACATATATATATATATATATATATATATATGTCGTACCTAGTAGCCAGAACGCACTTCTCAGCCTACTATGCAAGGCCCGATTTGCCTAATAAGCCAATTTTTCAAGAACTAATTGTTTTTCGACTACCTAACCTAACCTAACCTAACTTTTTCGGCAACCTAACCTAACCTAATCTATAAAGATAGGTTAGGTTAGGTTAGGTAGGGTTGGTTACGTTTGGTCATATATCTACGTTAATTTTAACTCCAATAAAAAAAAATTGACCTCATTCATAATGAAATGGGTAGCTTTATCATTTCATAAGTAAAAAATTAGGGAAAATATATTAATTCAGGAAAACTTGGCGTATTGGGCAAATCGGGCCTTGCATAATAGGCTGAGAAGTGTGTTCTGGCTACTAGGTACGACATATATATATATATATATATATATATATATATGTCGTACCTAATAGCCAGAACGCACTTCTCAGCCTACTATGCAAGGCCCGATTTGCCTAATAAGCCAAGTTTTCATGAATTAATTGTTTTTCGACAACCTAACCTACCTAACCTAACCTAACCTAACTTTGTCGGCTACCTAACCTAACCTAACCTATAAAGATAGGTTAGGTTAGGTTAGGAAGGGTTGGTTAGGTTTGGTCATATATCTACGTTAATTTTAAATCCAATAAAAAAAAATTGACCTCATACATAATGAAATGGGTAGCTTTATCATTTCGTAAGAAAAAAATTAAAGAAAACATATTAATTCTGGAAAACTTGGCCTATTAGGCAAATCGGGCCTTGCATAGTAGGCTGAAAAGTGCGTTCTGGCTACTAGGTACGACATATATATATATATATATATATATATATATATATATATATATATATATATATATATATACTGTAAAGATATCACGTTTGTGATAGGAAAAACCATGTTTTAAAAAAAAAACTGTTTTTCATGTGAAGAAAATTTTCGAAACCTCATTACCGATTTCTTTGAAAACTTGACACAATGTCGCATTCGAATAGGCACATGTTTTTATATACCTACTATATATATGCGTCACCTGTGACAGGTAAAAAACATTTTTTTTTTAAACAGCACCATCTGTTGGATGTAAGAGCAACACACGCTGTAATCTTTGAAAGTTCTTCATTGGGGTTCCTGGGAAAGAAATTGCTTTCAAATTTTGACCCAGTGCTGCATTCAATTAAGGCATGTGTTTTTGTATACCTACTATATAGATGCCACACCTGTTACAGGTAAAAAAAAACGTTCTTTTTAAAACAGCATCATCTGTTGCATGTAATAGCAATACACACTTTACTAAATATATTACAATTCCATTTCATTGTTTCACATTGTATAGATAAATTAAATTTTCATAGATTTTGATTTATTTGTATGTTGATCTAATTATTTTGTGTTACTTGCGTTGGGATTGAGCTATGTTATTTACCATATCGTTTATTTCGTAAGTATAAGTATAGATGCCACACCTTTGACAGGTAAAAACATTCTCTTTTAAGAAACAGTGCCATCTGTTGCATGAAAGAGCAACACACGCTATACTATGTATGTTAGGATTCCATTTCAATGTTTTCGATTTCATTGACAGAATTTTCATAGAATTCTATTTATTTTCGAAATTATGGAATAATTATTTTGTGTGACATTGCATTGGAATGTAATGCACTGTGCTGTTTACTATACCGATCATTTCGTGAGTATACTTAATTTTTAATTTTTTTATTGTTTTTATTTCGTTTTTTTAACTATTTTTAACTTAATATTATTATATATTATAATATTATAATATTATTATTTAACTTATTAAACGTGAGGGACCTCTCACTTGCTCTGGTGGTCTTGGGAGGGGAAAGTATCTGGGAGTTAAATACCCAAACTGCAAAAATTTTCTTTCATGAAAAGATTAATTACTTGTGTCTAATGTATTTTTTGCTTACTTGCAGCTCAACCTGAACCCCGTTGTGGCCATTACCTTCACTGTCGACTTCTTCCTGCTAGTCCTCCATGTAAGAATACTTTGTACTTTGTGTGTATCCACTTAAATATACTCCTCTAATTGTATATGCTGGGGTTGAGCTTTGTTCTATTTATTTGCAGTACTATAAGTCTAAGTAATATGTTCATTTCATCTGTGTATGGAGTTTATCTTCGCAATTTATTTTCTTTGTGCATTCCGCTTGTTGGCTGCTGTGAACATAACCTTTTGTCGTTCCTGGATTCTGTAGGTCATTAGAGAAATATATTTTAATATGCTTTTAATTTACAGAGTCTGCTTATTTTCGTAACATTTATTTTAAATAGAGAGTCCTTGCTAACCTTGTCTTTTTTTAAGGGCTTTTTTTTCTCACTCATTTGTTGCCTGCATAAATTTTTATGTGGATGTTTGAATGTGTGTATCTCACGTATCTGTTCTGGTAAAGCCTGAATTACAACTCATAGGTCCCACTTCTTAACCTTCAGTTTATAAGAATACAGATTCCTAAATCATTTGGGTTGTGTTATATATGCTTTTATATTTTGGTATAGGAGATGCCTCTACAACTTTTTCACTATATTGTTATAATTATTTGCTGCTCTTACACGGGAAATTTTATGTATATACTGATCGAGGCATAATTGTGTACTTGTTTCCTGCAATGTCTCCATGCTAGTTTTTCTAATTTCAAATTGTTTTGTTTACTTTGACTTTTAATTTATTGGCAATATTTTGTAAGTCGTGATCATGTAGCCTCTATTTATTCTGTATTTCAATGATGATAAGTTTAGTTACTTTAGTCTTCACAGGCATCTCTGTAATTGGATGTTTCTTGTTATCTCTGAACTTCCAAAGTTTTATTTTGTGTCTGAAGAGACTAAGCGTCCTTGCTGCTGTTCAAGATTCTAACGGTCACTCTGAAGTATGTAGCTGTTGGTATTTGTTTGTCTGAGGAGACAAGTTTGGTGTGATATAAGTACTAAGGTCTCCCCTGCCATTGTGTACCTTATTACAAGCCTTCTGTCATCTTCATAAGTGTGCACTTATTGGTACTAAGCTTTTACAGCCACATACTTGACACTTCATAAGTTTTCAATGTCTTCCTGTTGATTAGGAATTATTCATCTGTGTATATTTATCACATATTTTTGAAGAAGAAACCCGTGACAAACAGGAGTACGTTCCCTCTGGGAAATATTTTGAGCTAGTTAGGAATATGACAAGACCTGATACTGAACTCTGTACTACTCTCATTTTCCCATATCTTCTTTTTTCTGTGCTTTGATTCCTGTAATTTGATTAAAATATTAAACTTTTCCATTTTCGTCACTCCAGCTTTTGATAAACCATGAATTACTGCTTTGGCATTTATTGACATATTTTGCCTTTTAACAGATTTGTCAGCCGTTTCCATGTACTTCTTGATAACAGACTTTGTAGTTATTTGTGTAAAATTTAAAAATTTAAAAAAGTGTAAAAAATTTTGCCATATTAATATCCAGTTTGTTATATCCATAAATCAATTTATCTACATCATTTATGTCCTCGTACACTTTTGGCCTCTTAAAAGAATATAAAGGAAGATTTGACAATCTTTCTTTATAGAGGAGGTTTATAATCTTGCGATAAACTTTGTCATTTATTTCTTAATTTTTTCAAAATAATATATGTCTATCCTACAGTCTGGTGGGTAACACAGGACAAAAAACTTATAATATCATTATAGGTTATTACTAACACATTAGAGGTTATTACTAACACATTAGAGGTTATTACTAACACATTAGAGGTTATTACTAACACATTAGAGGTTATTACTAACACATTAGAGGTTATTACTAACACATATTAATCGCCTACTATAATTTTTGTTTTCCGAACTTATACGTTAATATCTAAGCTTTAAGTCCGTTCTGTATATGACATCAAGAGATATTTCGTACTTAGAGTTAGCAATTTAAATATTGTTCACTTGATATCAGCTAACTCAATAGTTATTTCAGAGTCATTGAACTCCTTCATTTTTCAACAATAAACTATGGCGTCAGTCTCTCCTTAGTGTAAAAAAAAAATCAGCTATTTACTGTCTTCCGAAATTATTTCATGAGCAATGATTTTATCATCGACAAAATTGCTAATGTTATTTTATAATCATCTGTCTAAATCGTTAATGTATTGGGTAAACAAGAAAGTTTACAGTGTCCTGGAACACTCCAGTAACAAAAAATTCCCTCTCAGATTTCACTCCATTTATGCTTACCTTTGGTTTCACTTAAGATAACCCAACCATAATCCAACTTCAAAGATACAATAAACTGGCATGTGCCTCTTCCTCTCTAGTTAGTGGTTTCTGAAAAATGGTAGCAATCATTTTTTCTAATGTCAATCTTCATGAATTCTGTAATAATTTCTAAAACATAAAGCTAAGAAAATGATTGGTCATTTGTCAAACTTTAGTGGTCCATTATTAATTTGTTTTAACCTATGTTCTTCATTATATATTCGAATGAATTTTGCAACTATAACTCATGTGGCTTCCTGCAAATAACGTTCAGCTTATTGGTCAATAATTCTAGACAAGTTATTTTTTTCCTAAAAATGATCACAACATTTGCAACCCTCGAAGACACCGGTACAGTATTCTGCTTACATGAGCTGTAAGGTTGATGTAAGCAGACTTACTGATCGAGTCACATGCCCTGATGTCACTCGATCAGAGTCACATCAGGGCATGTTACTCGAGTCAGCTTAAGGAACATTGAGGCAAATGGAGTCAGTGTCGGAATGGGACGGTTGGGTTCAGCCGTCTGGAAGCTGAAGTTTTTGTACAGGTGTTTGGCCGCCAGACTTTTGGATGCCAGCAAAGAAATGTTAAATGATTCATCATCATTCAAAAGTAGAACTTTAATAACTTTTAAAACTGTTACTTTATTGAAAAATAAAAATATTATATCCGTGACTCACTAAAAACTGTAATACAGTTTTATTGGTTAGGTTAGGTTTTAATACTAGGTTAGATTAGAATTTAATGTGAACTTGTTATCTGGGTGTTCATGGCAGGGCGTTGGGTTTTAATTAGAATGGCGCCAAAACGTCCTTCACCAAATGGGCTGGCGCCAAAATAGGTTTGGCGTCCTAACGGTCGTGCCAAAACACTAGCGTCCAAATGGCAGTGACAAAACACCAGCGTCCAAATGGCCGTGACAAAACACCAGCGTCCAAATGGCAGTGACAAAACACCAGCGTCCAAATGGCAGTGACAAAACACCAGCGTCCAAATGGCCGTGACAAAACACCAGCGTCCAAATGGCAGTGACAAAACACCAGCGTCCAAATGGCAGTGACAAAACACCAGCGTCCAAATGGCCGTGACAAAACACCAGCGTCCAAATGGCAGTGACAAAACACCAGCGTCCAAATGGCAGTGACAAAACACCAGCGTCCAAATGGCAGTGACAAAACACCAGCGTCCAAATGGCCGTGACAAAACACCAGCGTCCAAATGGCCGTGACAAAACACCAGCGTCCAAATGGCAGTGACAAAACACCAGCGTCCAAATGGCAGTGACAAAACACCAGCGTCCAAATGGCAGTGACAAAACACCAGCGTCCAAATGGCAGTGACAAAACGTACCAAACCAAGTAAATGTTGTCTCTATCAATAAAATTTATAAAAATGAAAATAGCTACAACTTTATGCAGATGAAAAGTCACAATAACGTGACTGAAAAATGTTGACCAAACCACACATTAGAAATTAAAGAGACGACGACGTTTCGGTCCGTCCTGGACCATTCTTCAGAGGCATGATTTAAGAGGGAGGCATGATATAAGAGGGAGGCATGATATAAGAGGGAGGCATGATATACCTCCCTCGTCTCATCACAGTCGACTTGATAATGGTCCAGGACGGACCTAAACGCCGTCGTCTCTTCAATTTCTAGTGTGTGTGTGGTTTGGTCAACAGCTACATCTTTAATTAGATTGATGTTAATAAGAGGGATATGGATACTGGGCTCTGTGACAGTTTCAGTCCTGTAGGTATAGATGTATTCAGACTATGGAATATAGAAAAGCCAGTACTAACTAATATCAGTATAAACAGAATGTAAAACTTTAAAGCAATTATATTCAACTGAGATGGGTTCAAACTGCATAAGTAAAAAAATTATTTTGCAGTGCTTGATATTTTTGTTTTGCAAGAGTAGTTCTGCATAAAAATCTCATGAATTTCAAAACGTCTCCAAATTTGTAGATGGTTCATTTTAACACTGCCAGCAGTGAAATTTCTGTGTCTGGTCACGTCCTCGAAGACCCAATGGTGATACAGCTATCCTATTTTATGATAACATGCAGTGTAAAGTTGAGAGAGCCAGGGGAGTATCAGAGTGTATGGAGATTCAACGGTTACGTTAATCAATCTGTAAAATGAATTCAAATATGAATGAAAAGAGAATAAATGAGTCAAAAATAAATTCGTAATTATCTCGCTGGAGCTGGTGTAAGTTTCGTCGCTCCGAACTTGGAGGTTTACATTTTTTATTAAGAAATCGTCCTTGACAGGAAAATCTTTATGACATGCCGGCATATTGCAGCATGCGAAAAATATGCAATCAAACTTCTCATCACGAAGAACCGAGCAAGATAATTCAGTTGTGAAGAGCAAGGAAAATGCAGCACTCATTAACAATTTTAAATTAATATTCAAATTTCTCTTAGAGTTATTGATTGTAAAGTTATTGGCTGAAATCTTTTATTTATTAACTTTTAATGATGCCTACACCTGAGAACGGTAAAATAAATTACTTGCGTGTACTTGTTCATCGGCCAGTTGTAACCAAGTTGTTTATGAACCAGTATTAACCACTTTGTTTACAAATTAAATTTTCTTTTGATTGTGAAGCAATTAATACAATTTTTTTATCAACTAAATAATTCTAAATTATACATAAGCCAAATACAATACCAATTTATATGTGAACCGATCAATATACATTTATTTATGAACAGGTAAGTTCCTTTTGAACTAAT